CGATGGTGTTCATGGCTGAATTGGTAGAAGCCCTCAGCTTGGTGGTGCCGCTGATTTGGCCGATGTGGCTTCGGGTCGATATGGCCCTCGCGGGGCGCCCTGAACCAAGCACAAGCTTTCTACACATGGTAGACTAGTTGTTCTTGGGATACCTCTGGCAAGCCAGGTCTTCGACTGGTGGGCTCTGTGAGCCGATTAATAGTCTTGTCACCAGACCAGCGGTGACCAATAGGCAAAAAGCCAAATGACACCCAGGCTGCTGCTAGCCTGCGCAGCCGAAGCGACTCCCGACGGCGACCCTATGTGGCCTGGTGGCCAGAAGGGGTCGTTGTGGGCCTGTTGGCCGTTAGCAATACCGCGTGCTGACACAATTTCTCTCGCCCACCAAAGAAAGCTGAGGAAACCCTTGATGGTGCTACTTTAACACACCGCACAGGAGGTCCATGAATGCGACGGTCACGCTGAACAGCACATTGCTGTCAGAGTCCGTTCCGTCGTACTCGTCTGTCTGCTGTGGGCTTCTGTCAGCTAGCGTGGCTTGCGTCGGCGTGCCATGGTCAACGTCGGGGAGCCTCCCCTGCAGGTACTGCAATGGCAGCAGCGAAAATGATCCACGTGAGGATCGAGGCCTGTCCGTGCCTCGTCGTGCCCCCGTCACCGTGACGATCGAGGCCTCTCCGTACTCAGACATGTTTTCCAAGAAGGAGCCGCCGTTGTCCACTGACGCTTCCCCTGGGCACATTTGTTTATTCGCGGCCTTAACGAACGTTATGGGGGGAGGTCGGGGGGGGGGGGCATCACGTATAACGTAACGCCCCCCCCCCCGTGTGGTTCGGGCACCAGAGTGCCAGCGCGCGTCGCAGCAGGCACCACCATGCGTCGCACAGGATGCACCGCCACAACCGCGTGCACCACATGGCCTGCTTTCTGCGCAATGCATACGTGCACCACCGTGCACCGCAGTGTCTCTTTGACCCGACACCCTCCATCGAGCATGTTTCTGTGCTGGTGCTTGCTTGGCGACGGGGGCGCCCAAGCGCCGGACGACGACAAACGACGACGATAACGACGACGACGACGACGACGACGACGACGAGGACGAGGACGACGACGACGACAGACGAAAGGAGGACGTGGACGAGGACGAGGACGACGATGACGACGAAGACGAGGACGAGGACGAGGCCGACAACGACGGTGACGATGACGACGAAGACGACGGTGACGACGACGACGACGACAACGACGACAGAAGACTCAGACGAGGACGAGGACGAGGACGAGGACGACGACGACGACGACGACGACGACGACGACGACGACGACGACGGCCGACTTTGAAGGTCTCTGGAGGTTTCCGGAGGTTTACCAGAAACCTCTGGAGGCGTCTGGAGGCCCTTCTAGTCCCTCGACGACGAGGACGAGGACGACGACGAGGACGACGATGAGGACGACGATGAGGACGAGGACGACGACGATGACGACGAAGAGGACGACGACGACGACGAGGACGAGGACGAGGAGGAGGAGGACGACGACGACGACGAGGGTGGTCGCCTCTAAGGCTTCTGTTGGTATCCAGCGGCCTGCGGAAGTCTCTGGAGACCGCTGGAGGCGTCGTGAGGCCCTTCTCGGGGCCCTTCGTCGACGACGACGACAGCGACGACGAGGACGACGACCGCGAGGAGGACGAGGAGGACAAGGACGACGACGACAGGGACGAGGACGAGGACGAGGATGGGGGCGGGGACGACGATGACGACGACTAAAACAATGATCACGACAACGCCGACGACGACGACAACGATGACGACGGCAACAACGACGACGACAACATCGACGACGACGACGACGACGACGAAGAGGACGACGACGACGACGACGACGACGACGACGACGACAAGGACGAGGAAGCCGGACGGAAAAGCGGCGTGCGGGGGGTCGGAAGGTGACGGGGGGCTGTGGGGAGGGGTGTTCCAAGCCTTTGGGCCCTCTTGCATGCACTTTGGGGCCTTCTGGGGAGCCTCTGGCGGCCATTTTGGGGGGGCGTATGGGGACCTCTGCGGGGCTCTCAGGAGCTTCTGGGGGCTTCTTTGGGGCTTCTTTGTAGCTTTCGGGGGCAACTTGGGGACTCTTGGGGGCCCCGCGGACCCTGTCGGAGGGCCTCGTGGGGACCATTTTGAAACCTGAGGTTCATCTGAGGCGGGAACGCGAGAGGGCGAACATTTCCAATTTCCAATACGTTTTTGAAACATTTCGGTCTCTCGGGGTGGTCTCTGAAGCCCTCTGGGGGCTCTCTTGGTGGCATTTGGGGCTGTGTCGGGGTTACCGTGAGCACGATCTTGGGCCGCTCTGCGAAGTCCGGGAGGCCCATGTGGCGGCCCAAGTGGGGGCTCCGAGAGGTCTGGGAGGCCCAAGTGGCGGCCTGAGTGGGGGACCAGAGAGAACCTCAGGGACCCCTGGGGCCCCTGGGGACAGCCAGATTCTATTGGGGGTTGGGGGGGCGCCCATCTGTGTCAGCTTCCTGGGGTGAGATATATTTTCACATACTATACAAAGTAGTAAGAGGAGATGCGACATGACTGCAACACAGTGAGGCCAGTGCGATGTGTTCGAATTGCCTCCGAGTGCGCGCACCACAGGCATGATACAAGGGGCGGGAGTGCGGGCGATTTTGCCACACAGACGCAGAAATTTACAGTTAGCAGGAGACGCGTGCAATGCTACTCTGAGAAAATAAATTACACCACTTACGGACAGCTGCAGTGGAAGTCTAAGCGGTCGCCAGGGTACATTAAGCCAGAGCGGCCAGCAAGCACGAATACAATGCATGCACGAGAGATAGAAGACAAAGAGAGAGAGAGGAGGGGAGAAGGAAAGCATGAATGAGAGAGAGGGCGAGAAAGGGAAGTGACGCCCTTCGAAAGAGAACTGGTTGTACCCAGCCACATGACCAGCTCTCCCCCCCCCCCCGCCTCGTCCTCTTCCATCCCCTGCTCCCTGCTCTCCCCTCCTCCACCGTCCTCCTCCTCCTCATGCCTCTCCTCCTCCTCCTCCTCCTCCTCCTCCTCCTCCTCCTCCTCCTCCTCCTTCGTTGCCACTTTCGCTCCAGAGCCCCGAGGCAGACACGGACACCGCTGGTCCGCGGCAGCAGCGAGAGCTCTGGCCTCGCGGCCACCTGCGAGCCACAGGTGGGGCAACGCAGACCTCCAGCGAGCACACGATGGCGCACCTCGTCTGTGAGCGAGCTTCTGCTGAGGTGTGGCGAAAATCGACGAGCGCGTTCCACTACTACTCGCAAAGTAACCACTCGCAAATGGTCTGGATCTCCCGCCGGGGATCTACGATACATTACATCAAAGCAGACAGATGTTTTTGGGGGACGTCTGCGAGTAGGCACTTTGCGAGTAGTGGAACGCGCTCGGCGAGAAAAGAGCGAGCGGCCACGGGCCGCGCACGACGTCTGGATGCAGGCGGAGCTTCCGTTCGATGGCGGCCTGCTCCCGCCGCGACGCCGCGCTCGCCCCGCAGGCGGGGTGCCGTGGCGAGCACCCCCGCAGGGCGCGCGGGGCTGCGGGGGGCAGGGGCTCGCACCGCGCAGGGCCAGGACAGGGCAGGGCACCCCCCGAGACCCGGGCGCTGCACTCTTCTGCCCCACCCGGGGGCTGCAGCCACGTGCCGGGCCCCGGGGCCAGCACACGCGGATCCAGCGCGAGGCACCGCGTCGAAGGACGGGGCCGGGGGGGCTCCAGGCGCGGTGCTTCGCAGGGCCGCGGCCGTGCTCGCAACGTCGGGCCCCAGGGAAGGCAGGGCTGCCCCCCGCGCCGCACGGCACGAAGCGGCGCCGGGGCGCAGCAGCGGGCGCCCGTCGGTGGCACAGCCGCCGCCGCCGGGCCAGCCAGCGCCGCAGGGCGGCGTGGCGGACCTGCTCGGGGCGTTTCAAAGGGGCCCAAGGACACACAAATAAATACACACAAATTACAGGATTCCCCATATTTTCCTATATGTTCTGGTTTTCTTGTCTTCCCCCCACAGTTCCCATATTTTCCCAGATTTTCTGGGGAATCGACTACTCATTGTGTCTGTATGTTTTTGTTCCCCTCCTGGGCGTTGCGGGCCCGAGCGGGCGACGGCGGGGCGGCGGCCTCTCGAGGACGGCGAGGAGGTCTGGTGCAAGTGGGGCGATTTCGACGGCTGCTGGGGCGCCTCGGGTCGTGCTGGAGCGCCCAAGGTCGGGCTGGAGGGACCTCGAGTCCAGCGAAACCAACCTTGTCCAACGAATAGGGGGCCACATGCGAACCCTACCCCTACCCCCCACGATTTCTGAAGGGGAGGGCGGGGGGTCACTCCGTTCAGACATCGTGGGGGGCAGGGGTAGGGCTCGCACGTGGCCCCCGTACGAGCCCTTCTCGCAGCCTCCCAGACGGGGCGGCGGCCTCGGAGCTGCAGGCGCCTCGGGGAGCTACCGGCCCAGCCCAGGGGACGCCCCCGCCAGCATCTCGGCCGAGGGTGCGGCGCGCCGCCGGGCCGCAGCCCGCGCTGGCCGGCTCAGCGTGTGGCCCCAGTAGGAGGAGGCCGAGAGGTGGCACGACGAGTGCGTCGCCAGCACTGGGCGAGGAGGAGGGGGGGTAGGAGGAGGAGGAGGAGGAGGAGGAGGAGGAGGAGGAGGAGGAGGAGGAGGCACGACGAGTGCGTCGCCAGCACTGTGCGAGCGGCACTGTGAGCATGCGGTGAGAAACATCAGGGGCACGCAAACATGGACCTCCCGGAATGCGGCCCGTGCCGCCTCGTTCGGCGGCGGAAATCCGCGCTTACCCATGGAAACGGGACCCGTCGCTAATCCACGCCCCTTTGATCCATGTCTTCGATCGCCCGAAAAAAGGTGTGGCGGGAGGGGCTCGCCATGGAGCTCAACAGGGCCAGTGGGAGGCACTTCCCCCCCCCTCGAGTCCCTCCTCCTCCTCCACCGCCGGGCACCCCTCTCTGGACCCTCCCCAATCCTGCTGAGCAACTTCTTGATGGCATGCTGGAAGTGGCCGCTCTCGCGAAAATAGCTCACGTTCTGCTCCCTGGTCCATCGGAGGAGCCCGACGGCAAAGCACAACAGAGACCCGTGGGTAGCATCAAACTTACGCCGAAGTGAGGAAGCCAGGAACCACGTCGCGGGAGAGAAGGGATGAAGAGAGAGGGAGAGAGACGCAAACAGAGAAAGAGAGAGAGAGAGACAACAGAAAAGCGAGGATGCCACCATCTCGCGCGACTTCTACCTATGATAGGGGCGAACCTTGTGGCGCGGAAGAGATGCAGTACCCTGATAAACAGGAACAGCGCTTTTCGAAATTATAGCGGAAGGCGTGAACAAGTGGGGATTGTGCTATGGCACGCGCATGCAACCAGAAGTCTTGCTGTAAGAAATCTAGGGGCACATCCTTCGCCGAATCTTCGCTTCCTAAAGTGCCCCCGGGCACTGCGGACCCACCGGGAGAAAAGACGCTCTCGTGGGGCACCCGTTGGCAGACAGACCACCTGATGACTTGGCGTGCGCACTGTAGTGCCAAGATGTAGAGTGCAAGTTCCTGAAACCCTGAAACCAGGAATGTTGGCACTGAGCTCTCACTTCCGCCGCCTCCCGCTGGCCTTCCGCAGGCTCTCGCCGAAACCCGAGGCGTGCCGAAGTTATGGCCCTCTCCAAAACGGCCCATCTGTTTCCACCTGCCGGTATCCCCCAACCACACCCAAAGCCCCATCCCACCCCACCCCACCCACCCCCACGACCGCGCTCGTCGCCAGCAAAGAGTAAAGAAGAAAGAGAGAGAGAGAGAGGGGAGGGGCGAGGAGGCGGTGCGTGAGGGATGGAGGGAAGGACAGGGAGGAGGCAGCAGGGACAAGGAGTGGATGAGGAAGAAGAAGAGGAAGGAGGAAAGGAGGAGGAAAAGGAATAGAAAGGCAAGCTTGGTGTGCTCGCGCCATATCTGACATCCTATCCCTCCCTCCGATCCCTTCTCATTGCGTTGTTTTTGTCTCTATCCGCGGCCGCGTGTCTTTGCCGACCTGGAACTCAAACAAAAAACATCGTGTTATGCGCGATCGAAACCGGGGAGCTGCGTATATTGGAGGAGGAAAAGAAAGAGGTGGCGGGTGAGCAGGAGGATGATCAAGAAAAGGACGATGAGAAAAGGAGGAGGAGGAGGAAGAGGACGAACAGCAGCAGGAGCAGGAGGACCACAAGAAGGCAGAGGACGATGAAGAAGGACTCCGATCCAGAAAAGTTGCACGCGCTGGGGCGAAAGCGCCGGTCTGAATGACGGGAGCACAGCGTGGATCCGAAAATGAGGCCCACGCTGCAGTGAGAGCACCATTTTGAAACACCGTGAACAATCGGTTTGCAACAAAATGAAATGGGGAAATCAAGTGTCTGACATCCTGTGTTTTTACCTAACAGCGTAGACTGATAGGTTTCTAGTAGGATCAAAAGAGGGCAGCAGCTTACTCCACAGGGGGGTCTGGGCGGATGTCGGCGAGCTGCCGGGCGGACGCCGGGCGGACGAACCGGGCTCGTTTTTCGCCAACAGTCACACACTTCGTGCTCTTCGACCTCCCAGAACTCCATTCCCGGGCCACATTTTGAATAACCGGACGCAACAGTCACACACTTCGTGCTCTTCGAGTTCCCAGAACACCATTCCCGGGCCACATTTTGAATGCCCGGAGCCAACTGTAGGCCACTTCGTGCTCTTCGACTTCCCAGAACGCCATTCCCGGGCCACATTCTGAATGCCCAGAGCCAACTGTAGGCCACTTCGTGCTCTTCGATTTCCCAGAACACCATTCCCGGGCCACATTCTGAATGCCCGGAGCCAACTGTAGGCCACTTCGTGCTCTTCGACTGCCCCGAACGCCATCGCCGAATGCCACTCCTGCCACTCCTGGCGCACATTTTGGATGCCCGGAGCCAACTGCACGCCACTTCCTGCTCTTCCACCTCCCAGAATTCCATTCCCGGGACGCATTGTGGAGAACACGCCATTGTAGTCGTAGTAGTACTCGTACGCCTCTCCTCCTCCTTCTACTCGCTCCTCCTTTTTCTTCTCTCATCGACGTCAGAACCCTTGCCTCCTATGACGTCCTCCGCTGGCCTGGGTGGTCTACTCAGGTCGCGGAGGGGGATAGGAGGGGGGTCGTTGCCATGGCCGGTTCCCTCGAGTTGACGACGGGGAGGGGCACATCCCCCCCTCCAAGGGTCTCCGAGCCCTCCCTCTCCGTCCTTTCCCTTCTCCCTTCTACTCGTAGAGTAGTAGTAGTAGTAGTAGTAGTAGTAGTAGTAGTAGTAGTAGTAGTAGTAGTAGTAGTAGTAGTAGTAGTCGTAGTCGTAGTCGTAGTCGTAGTCGAAGTAGTAGTAGTAGTAGTAGTAGTAGTAGTAGTCGTAGTAGTAGTAGTAGTAGTAGTAGTAGTAGTAGTAGTAGTAGTAGTAGTAGTAGTAGTAGTAGTAGTAGTAGTAGTAGTAGTAGTAGTAGTAGTAGTAGTAGTAGTAAGTCAGTAGTAGTAGTAGTAGTAGTAGTAGTAGTCGTAGTAGTAGTAGTAGTAAGTAGTAGTAGTAGTAGTAGTAGTAGTAGTAGTAGTAGTAGTAGTAGTAGTAAGTCGTTAGTAGTGGTCGTAGTACTAGTAGTAGTAGTAGTAGTAGTAGTAGTAGTAGTAGTAGTAGTAGTAGTAGTAGTAGTAGTAGTAGTAGTAGTAGTAGTAGTAGTAGTAGTAGTAGTAGTAGTAGTAGTAGTAGTAGTAGTAGTCACGCCTCTCCTCCTCCTTTTTCTTCTCTCATCGACGTCAGAACCCTTGCCTCCTATGACGTCCTCCGCTGGCCTGGGTGGTCTACTCAGGTCGCGGAGGGGGATAGGAGGGGGGTCGTTGCCATGGCTGGTTCCCTCGAATTGACGACGGAGACGGATAGGTGCACCGTTCCCTCGGATGGGCACCCCCCCCCCTCCAAGGGTCTCCGAGCCTTCCCTCTCCGTCCTTACCCTTCTCCTTTCTATTCGTAGAGGAGTAGTAGTAGTAGTAGTAGTAGTAGTAGTAGTAGTAGTAGTAGTAGTAGTAGTAGTAGTAGTCGTAGGAGTAGTAGTAGTACTAGTAGTAGTAGTAGTAGTAGTAGTAGTAGTAGTAGTAGTGGTGGTAGTAGTAGTAGTAGTAGAAGTGGTAGTAGTAGTAGTAGTAGTAGTAGTAGTAGTAGTAGTAGTAGCAGTAGTAGTCGTAATAGTAGTCGTAGTAGTAGTAGTAGTAGTAGTAGTAGTAGTAGTAGTAGTAGTAGTAGTAGTAGTAGTAGTAGTAGTAGTAGTAGTAGTAGTAGTTCCCAGAACTCCGTGCCCGGGCCACACTTTCAATGCCCGGAGCCAACTGTAGGCTACATCGTTTTCTTCGAGTGCCCGGAACAAGAAAACCTGTACCATACTTTGACGGCCCGGAGACCCATACACTTCTTCCAAGAGGAGGAGGAGGAGGAAGCAGCACATCCACAAACGATGCCCACCATCATCACGAGAGAGTCTACAATGAGAGTCCGAGTTGAATATTAATGAAATCGCCATCTGAATCTAAATGATGGTGCACACATATATGCTTTTACACATCGCTGTTAGGTTGCTTTGCTGGGATAATTTTATATTTATAACTATAAAAAAAAAAAAAAAAAAAAAAAAAAAAAAAAAAAAAAAAAAAAAAAAAAAAAAAAAAAAAAAAAAAAAAAAAAAAAAAAAAACGCGGAGAGGGTCGAACATCTTCTGCACAAGAGTCAGAGGAGGGAGGAGACCAGTACTCATAACGTGTGCCCGTGGAGGGTAGGAATAGGACTAGGGTTGGAGGAGCGAGAGAGATGGGAGGACAGGGACGAAGATGAACACGATGGGGCGGATGCCAGGGAAGAGGATAAGAAGGAAGAGGATAAAGGATTAGGAGGAGGCGAAAAAGGCAAGGCTGAGGAGCGTGAGCCTGCTGGGTGCCGTCTTGGGGCCTCTTGGAGCCTCTGTTGGGCTCCTCGGGGGCCTCCTGGGGCCTCTCGGGGGTATCTGGGGGCCTCCTGGGGGCCTCTTGGGGCCTCTTGGGGGCCTCTTGGGGCGGGGAGGGCTCGGCTTTTGAGCTCGCGCTCCCTCCCTTGGGCCCCTCTTGGGCCCCCCGCGATGACGGGCGCGATCGGGGGGGGGGGGGGGGGGGGCGATCACATCGCGGCGGGCTTCGGCCTCCCAGGGCCTTTTTCGAGAGCCCCCCGCGGGCCCCTCGGGAGGGCGAGGAGGAGGAAGAGGGAGAGGGCAGCAGAGGAGGGAGAGGGGGATCGAAGAGGAACTCCTGGGAGCACCCTGAGAATCTGCTGCTGCTGCTGCAGCTGCTGCTGCTCCTCCTCCTCCTCCTCCTCCTCCTCCTCCTCCTCCTCCTCCTCCCCCTCCTCCTCCTCCTCCTCCTCCTCCTCATCCTCCTCCTCCTCCTCTCCTTCTCCTCCCCCTCCTCCTCCTCCTCCTCCTCCTCCTCCCCTCCTCCCCTCCTCCTCCTCCTCCTCCTCCTCCTCCTCCTCCTCCTCCTCCTCCCCCTCCTCTCCCTTCTTCCCCGGTCGTTGTCTTCGCCGTCGTCCTCCTCATGCGGAGGAGTGGGGAGGATACTCAGGAATATGTTTGTGAACGTTCGGGGGGCGCGTGTCCATACGTATCCCTTGCGAGCGCTCGGAGAACTCGCCTGTAACATCCGCCGCTCTGCGGTTGATCGGGAGTTTCTGTATATATAGAAGAAGGGGCGCGCGCTTCTGGGCGAGAGGGAAACGACCGAGAGAAGAAGGGGCGGCCGCCCCACAGGACCTCTCCATGGTGCCGGAAGCCCATCAGGGCTCCCTCAGGGCCCCTCCCCCAGGGCCGGGGCTCCCTCGCCTGCCCCCTCCCCCTCCTCCTCCTCCTCCTCCTCCTCCTCCTCCTCCTCCTCCTCCTCCTCCTGCCCCCGTCGGCATATCCAGGCGTGTTATGCAATCAGGTCGTCCGTCCGGAAACGGTGCCGGAGGCCGCTCTGGGCTCCTCTGGGCATCCCCCCCGGGGCCCGTTTTGTGAGGATGTCTCAGGCGAGGGCGCCGGTTTGGGATTCGTCACCGGATCCAGCGGATCCAGCGGATCCGTCCGGAAACGGTGCCGGAGGCCGCTCTGGGCTCCTCTGGGCATCCCCCCCGGGGCCCGTTTTGTGAGGATGTCTCAGGCGAGGGCGCCGGTTTGGGATTCGTCACCGGATCCAGCGGATCCAGCGGATCCAGCGGATCCAGTCCGTCCGGAAACGGTGCCGGAGGCCGCTCTGGGCTCCTCTGGGCATCCCCCCCGGGGCCCGTTTTGTGAGGATGTCTCAGG